GTGTGTGTGTGTGTGTGTGTGTGTGTGTGTGTGTGTGTGTGTGTGTGATTACAGACCCTGTTTGTGCGCGCAGTGCGGGCGTACAATGGAGAAAACTTCCGTACTTCGGTGTCAGACATGGAGCTGTGTCTGCGGGATTTCTTCAAGGTCTACGACGAGTGTCTGGCTGCGTCCGAGGGCCCCAGGGACGTCAAAGACTTCAAGGACTTCTACCCCTCCATAGCCGGTCAGTTCATGTGTGTTAATGCTGTGTTCTAACTCTGTTCCTCCTGCCCTGTCCATCTATACCTGCACTTCTCTTTTGTTAAAAATCCAAACCTTTTGCATCTGTCTTCTTTTTCTCATTTAATGAACTCTTTTTTCAACACTTTCTTGTAATGCCTAAGTTGAATCATATCATATTATTTTGAACCTTTCCTCTTCAGATCACTACATCGAGGTCCTTGACAGGAAAGTGAGTTGTGAAAGTGACCTGACACCTGTCGTAGGAGGTTTCGTGGTTGACAATTTCGTGGCCACCATGTACCACTACCTGCAGTTTGCCTATTACAAATGTGAGTAGCGTGTTGTTTCCAAACGTCTACTGTGTTATTATGACTGAATTCCCTGGATTTAGTTCTGTAATCGTGTTTTCAAGTGAATGACCTGAAGAACGCCGTACCGTGTGCAGCCAGCTATGTGCTCTTTGACCCCAGCGATGAAGTTATGAAGAATAACTTGGCCTATTACGAGTTCCACAAAAGCCGGTGGGAGCTGACGGAGGAGGACTTCATCCCCAGAGGAGTGAGACATATTAATGACTACAAATCTTATGCACCCAGTTCATATTCGATATGAATATGCAAACAAGATACAAAATTGTAATTGGTGCGCTTTTTGGGTTGCTGGTAGGCAGATTTTGTTGCCTTTGGACAGAGCCAGGCTAGCTGTTTTCCGTTGTTTCCAGTTTTATGCTAAGCTAAGCTAACTGGCTTAGCACGGTCAGACTTTTGAGAGGTATCAGTCTTCCCATCTACAGTAACTCATGGCAGGAAAGCAAATAAGCGTACTGTTTTTTAGTTCAAATAGGTTCATAAGGAGTCTTTTAGTCAGTTAGGTGAGAAGATTGACACCCCTCTCATGTCTGTGTACAGTAAATATAAAGCCACCACACGCCAGCAGCCTGTTAGCTTAACTAAAATACTTGAAACAGAGGGAAACAGCTGGCCCGGCTCTGTCTGAGGGTGACAAAATGTGCCTCTAAAGCACTCTAATTAAAACGTTGTATTTTGTTTGTTTAAGTTGTGGTGTTACCTGAGGTTCTGTGTGCACATTTCTTTGCCATGTGCAGAGACTTTGTGACAGAACCAAGGGGGCTGTTTGTTTGTGTCCAGTCTTTGTGCTAAGCTAAGCTAACCGTCTGCTTTATATTTAACAGACATATATTATAGTGATATCAATCTAGGAATGTAACTTAGTAATAAAGCAAAAAAGCATATTTAATTTAAGGTTCTCTGGACTAACTACATGTCTGATTCAGCACGTGCACTCTTCTATCTCTGTTTTGTGTCTTTGGTTCAGTATGACACACATTTTACCTGCTGTGCTCCTGTGTTTGTGTGTGTGTGTGTGTGTATGCGCTACAGGAGGCACTGCGGTACTACAATCAGACCACAATGCAGCTACAGATGTTGGAGTTCTCCAGACTGCGCCTGGTGAGCGACGACGAGGTGAGTGCTTGTAATACATATTTTTTGTGTGTTAGTGCATCACAGGATGCTTTCAGCCGGGGACATATCTTTCAAATGAACAATTTACCCTTAAAAATAGACCTGCATGATTCCCATGTTATCAGTTGGAGTTTGGATCAGGCTCTGTCCTTGTGTCACTTATGGAAAAATCCTGGATTCTTCAGTCTGATCACATGACACCCTGCAGTACAATGTAGCCTCTGTGTTTATCAAGCTGCAATGTGGCAGACGGCCATCAGGTGGCAGCAAGACACTGGCATTTCTTTAAAATTCTTACGCAGCACAAGCACACCCTGTATAAACCAGGACTACATGCTGTATGTAGCGAACACCTGTCAGTTCTTGGCTGTCATCTCTTTAGTAATGCCAGGTGAGAAATCACAGATAGAACTGTGAGTCAGATATTTAATGCTTATGCACTTCAAACAGACCCTCCTGAGTTGTCTCTATCTTTTTCTTCTTCGTGTGTGTGTGTCCGCAGGGAGAGGTGGTGGAGTTTATAGATGAGTTCCTGGATGGTGATGAATTGCCCAAATTGGAAATACCGCCGAAAAAATGAAACACACACAACAAAACCACTCCAACAACCCCCCACCCCATAGTTTGTAGCCTATTTATTGGGTTTTGCAAGAGGCTCTGATTGGTCACTGTGTTTTTACCTGCAGAACCTTTTTTTAAACTTCCTATTTTGTGCACTAAACATCCAGTTCAGTGGTATGAACACATAGCACAGTGGCTAAATGATTTAAAGACAATGATGTTAATAAAGATAGAAACATTTTTACTTGCTGTTTTATGGGTCCGTTCCTCCACTGTGAATCATGTATGTTGTCGGTTACAATGAAATGATAATAAAACTCGACAAACATGTCTTTCAAGTAAACACTACAGTGTTGTCGTAATACTACAGTTGGGGATGTGATCAGTTGTGAGTAACACCTATTTAGTCTAGGACTGCAACTATATCTGCCAGTAAGACACTAATATGCTTAATTGTTTGGTAAATAGCTAAATATGCTCGTCACAATATCCTAAAACCTAAAGTCATGTCTTCAGGTTTTTCCTGTCCAACCATAAAATGATCAACTTACTATCACACAAAACAAAAGCAGCAAAATCATCACAACTGAGAAGCTGGAACCAGGGAATGATCTAATATTTGTGCTTGAAAAAATGACTTAAATGATGAATTAATTGATCAATCGAATAATACTCTGCTTCAGTCCATTGATATTTGACTGGAGCATTAATACAGCAGGATGTTTGCGAGGGTCCTTCAGACAAGACCCGGGCTGTGCTGAGCAGAGAGACGTCCAGAGAAAACACAGAGTTGTTTAATAATGTTTGAACATTGAGTCTCTGTGCAGTTTGTCACACGGTGATGTAAAAAAACCCACAGGGGAACATTCTCGCAGTGTTACTGTTCGCTTCTCTCTGACTCTGCCTTCTCATTTCTCTCCTGCCTGTATTTACTCGTCTCTTTTATTCCCGCTTCTTCTCCTGTGCCAATTCTTTCCTTTCATCTGCCCTCTTTTTCTTTAAACATTCATCTTCATTCTTTTTAAACATTTTTGGGAAACGTCACAAAGAAATGGGGGATAACGGCTGTTAGAAGGGGCTTAGGTAACAGTTTACATAAAAGGCTGACTGTCAGGAGTCAAGGCCACAGGTCAAAGTCACGCCTTAATATTAAAAGTTGATCACTTTCACAAACGTATACAGTGAATGGTAAACAATGGACCATTCAATTACAGATCTTACAAAAAGTAGCATTACAAAAATAAAAGTAGATATCAAGAGTTAATACCATGTTTAGGAGTTTATTGTGACACAAATACAGTACACATTTATTCCATCACACACATCACGCTGTTTGAGATGAAGAAGAAACAGGCATGGAGAAATATTAGCATCATGTGAATGAGAGTCAACGATGTCAAAAAGAGTCCTTTGCTTTCTTTCTGATTCCTTATGATTTGCACATAACTCAGGTGGTCCCAAACCCAAATATAGTCTCCGTATTTTACAAGTCTGGATGATTATGATCAGTGTTCATGGTTCATGTGGCAAACCTGGTGTGTGACCAGACATTCCTCGATAACCTACAATTCATGCTATTGAGTACAGCACTTGTGTTCAAACGGCTTTAGTTGTTGAAGTAAAGGGCATTTTGACTGAAGTGGAGATGAGCTGTGAAAGACATGAAGAGGCAATGTCAACTGTGCTCGACTGTCTTGGTGAAGAAACACAAGTCAAATGTATTTCCCCACACACCAGTAATGCTTCACTATGACCAGCAAATTATTACAGTGAAAGATTCATATTTACAGAAACATGCCACATCAACACTTTAGTGTCAATTCATTTTCAGACACCACAATACTGAAATCAAAAAGATTGATGAAATATTTTTTTCCCATAACCCGTCCAAATCCAACAAAAACGTATTTCATAACTAAATATGTTACTAAATAACACCATCAAAAATATATATATTTTAGAAATCAGCTGAGAACACTGGATGTGAGGAAAGATTAAATGATCGTCACATCATAAAGCTTTGTCGCCCACTTTTGACATTAATTAGAAGCACTTTCTATTTAAGTTATTGCCATATTTTATGTAGTCTTTTTTACACCACCAGAATTACAAACTCTAATATGTAAGTTTAAACTCTCTTATTTTTGACCTTTGTTCTCAAGTATTTGGCACAGTACACAAACAAATATCACCAAATCATGCAGAGCTACAGTACACTGTACAATCCTTAATTTTTGGAACAAGGACTGTACAATAAACTAAATCTACAAAGTTATACCCAAAACTAAATGTACACATATTGCAAATTGTCGGAATTCCTAAGTACAGAATAGCGTTAAATTAACAAATCCTCCCCGGGCCAGTTCAGATAACACCCTTAAACTTCTCATGTTGTATTTTATCAGGACAAACATAAAAGAACACAAATAAGGAAGTATAATCCATTGATATACTAAAAATATTGAGCATTACATTTAGCATTATGTAGCTAAATGTAACAATATCATGATTTACATTTTAGGGCATGTGGTCCAGCCCTAATCTTAACCCAAAGTTATAGGCTTCAATTCCACATAATACTCAAAAATCAAACTACATTTTTCACTGAACACCCTAAAGCCGTCAGCATATGTCAAACTATTACTAATCCTTTAAAGATGCGGTAGGCAATATTTTTGGGGGGTAAAAATGCCCTGGCAAGGCAAAAGAAATCGCCAGACTTTGAAAATACAGTCGTCCTCCTCCTGCACCCCTCTCTGTCCTAGGCTCCTCCCACCAGATGCACGTTTCATATTGTAACCCGACCCTGATGCCGTTACATAGCGGCAATTCTGTGACAATTACGGTCCTGTTTTCTTTGCAAACTTGTGGGCCTGTAAAGCCCTTTGAGACTACAATATCGACGTTTCAGAGATGGAGAGAAAACGTTGCTAATACAGCCAATAGGAACGCCCTCTCTCCAAAGTGACCTGTGATTGGCCAAAGTCTCCAGTCACATGCTTGATTTTCTAAAGCCCGAAAACAGACAAGAAGAGGTGCAGAAGATTTTTTTGCCCAATGATGCCAAAAATAAACTGCCTACCCCAGCATAAAATTTTGAATTGTAGTTTCTCTCTGTTGCCATGGCAGTACCACAATGTTTGATCTCTGGTTGGTCTGAATCCCGTCAGCAAACACGAAATACCGCTGACCGGCGGATTGCACGGACCTGAGACACACACACACACACACAGACACACACACAGGGGCTGAATCTGGCCAACTGATGCCAACTGCCAAAACCAAAAGAGGAACCTTCTTTCTCACATCTTTCCCCCATGCCGCTCATTTGACCCCCTCATCTAGTCTAACCATCATCATCATCATCACCATCATCATCATCATCATCCTTTTTTCCGTTCTTGCTGGTTTGACAGAAGCCTGGTGCTTCATTTGTCACTACCTGCCCAAATCTGCTTCTGCAAAGTGTTAGAGTAACAAGTGGAATACAGTTCTTATCAAACAGAAAACGATGGGGAATCGAGAACAATGCAGCTAAATCAACAATAAATGAGCAGTCAATGAACAATGTCCAAGAGCTTTGAAGTCTCAGTTCATATATTCAGGTGGGCAGGCATGCCTTCTTGTGGTATTCCTACATGGTTAATTCCTTAATGTCTCCCTTTTCAGTTGCTGGAGTTAAGTCCAGTCTAGATACCCTCTCCACATGTCCAGCTAGATGTCAGAGCTTTCAAAATATTGGGTAGGGTATAATGCAGATGACTAAAATTCCTTAAAATCGATCTACCATCTTGTTTCACTGTGTTAAGCATCAGCTCTTACTGTTTTACACAATTTTCTGCATCCCATAGGTGCTCTTGAACAGGGCTGTAGCACAACTCATCCATTCACACCTATCCAAACTCTTAAATTATGCAGTAGTTTCTAGCAAGATGAGGGGCTGTGCTTTCCTCTCAAATTCATCCGAATCTTCCCATCCCTCCTAAATGTCTCTGCCCTCCGTTAGTGTCCCTCTGTCCTCATCCGTCACTCTTACACTTTTTGCTGCATCTCTATCTGTTGGCCCTGTCTGGTCTGACTTTGGCCCTTCCCATTCATCTCGTACACTGAGCTCATCTTCTGCTGCTGCCGTCGGTAACACCACACCCCAACAATAACCGCCGTGGCGACCGCACACAGCGCCACAATTATCGCTGCCACCGTAGGACCTCGGCTGGAGGAGCTCGGAGGACGGGGAGGGCAGTTGTCTCCTGTACAGATCGCCTCCCCCATATCTCCCTCCATCTCACCCCTCTCGCCGGTCTCACCGGGCAGATTGTGTAAAGTGTGCTCTTCCATCACTACGTCGTCGCCGTCGCGCATCGGTGGAACCGGGCCGTGATCGAGGAAGGGGTGCTCAGTGAGGTCACCCTGCCAGAAGTGGGTGGGAGCTGCCTGTTGTGTGTCGTAGTCCAGGGTGTCGGAGTATGAGGGAGAGTCTGAGGGCTGTGAGGGGGCGGCGCTGGGGATGAATCCAGGCCACATCTCCTCTGCGCCCCTTTGATTTAAGGCAGGCATTGTGGTGGGAGACTCGGCCACCTCTGGTAGGCTGGTGTAAGGGCCCGGTCCACGAATTTCCACCTCATTGGGTCTGTCTGTTGCCCCAACAACTGTCCCCCTCTCTGTATCCTCTGGTCGTACCCTTTCTGTTGTGGAGTCACCAATTTCTGTTTCCTCCGAAACGACAGGGTAGCCGTCCAGCCAGGTGTCATCTGTGGCGGCCTCTCCTTCTGCTCCCTTCTGAGTGCCGTTCTGATGTTCATCCGCTGCTATAGAAAATATTACATGCTGATGACCGTCATTGTCATCTTCATGGCTGTCATGATCATCATAGCCGTCATGGTCATCGTGTTCATGATCGTCGTGATCAGTGTAACGGTCGTCGTCATCCTCCTCTGGGTCGTAATGCTCCTCGCGGTCATCAGGGTCAGGATGTTCCTCAGAGCCATCAGGATGTTCTCGATCATCGGCGACACGATCGTCGGTCACGTTGTCGTGTTCTTCGTAGCTTTCATGTACATCGTAAGTCTCGTCATACTCCCGGCTGCGAACACGATCGCGGCCCTCTTCGTGTTCGCCCATGTCATAATGGTCATCGTGATCATAATGATCTTCGTGGCGGTCACGTCTGTCCAGATCATCATGCTGAGCTGGAATGTCGTGGTCATCTAGATCATCATGGTGGCTGTCGTCATGGGCATCCAGTTCTTCATGGTTGCTGTCATCGTGATCCTCTCCGTCATCTGTATCTGGATCATCGTAGCCGTCTCGCTCGTCATCGTGGTCGTCGACATCAACTGGACTCTGGTGGTGGAGCGTTTCTTGGCTGTCACGCTCTTTACTCTCCTCTGATTGGGCGCCTGGGGCTCTCTGTGTAGCCTGGGTGACTGGATCGGTGGAGACAGGATATCCCTCCTCCTGGAAGGCCTCAGAGGGGAACCAGAAGAGGTGTTTTTGGGAGAGAACAGAGACAGGTGCTTCTGTGGCTGCATCAGTCTTGACCACATCCCTCCTCTCCTGCTCCCACCTCGGATGGCTTATGAAGTCCTCAACAGCCCGGTCATCGTCCTTTTCAGCTCCTTCTTCCGCTCCTTCATATTTTATACCAATCACCTCTCCTTCAACATCGTGCTCTCCATGTTGGTCTTGATGCTCCTTCTCTACTTCGACAGTGAAGCTTGTTTCTTGCTGCTCCTGACTCCTCCCCTCGTCCGGGTATGCAGCTCTGTGCACCTCCTTGTACACCTCACCATGAGCCTCCTCTGGTCTGTCAGTGTGGTGCTCTGCCTCTCCATAGGAATCAGTGAACTTGTCCTCGTAGTCCACCGGACTTTCAGTCTCATCTGCAGAAACACAACAAGGACACATTGACAAAGTTACATCAAGTGAACAGTAATTATTAAACAACTCAACTCAAAAAAATCAAACAGGTATTTGCATTCAAACACAACTTTTAGATTCTGACAATGTGGAAGTACTTTAGAGCAGGGATTCCCAAACCTTTTGGATCATTAATGTATAACGGTTAAAGTTATACATCAATATGAAGCCACAGCCAGCAGCCAGTTAGCTTAGCTTAGCATAAAGACTAGAAACAGGGGGAAACAGCTACCCTACAATCACCTCTAAAGCTCATTATTTTTGCTAATGCCAGGCAACCAGTGGAGACTTGAGGAAGTCCCTTCTCCTGGCCGAGGAATAGCACTGCAACATTTTGGCTTTACTTCAGTTTTTGTGCGGATTAAACAAACTAGATATAATGTGTTAACTAGTCAACTTTAGAGGTCTGCTTGTGATGCTTTATCACAGGGGTCACATGCTTATTTGGAGGATTTCTAGAGGCATGACAAGGTGAAAGTATCACGTATATCACACAAAATAAGTCAGTAGTAATGTAAATATAACTTTGTGCTTTCCCTTTGTTATCTCTTTAATCATTTTTTGATTCCTCAGATTGATCTCGGGACAGTTCAGGAACCGCTGGTGTAGCACACAAACATGAGTACGACCCTGTTAGCTACTCGTGGACACAGGCCTGGCATTCTGCTTTCACATTCAACTCTTCTCCCTCTGCTATGAACTGGGCCACGCTATGGCATGTCACACTGAGGTGTCATAGCAGCCATTCTCTACTCACAACTGAGACTCTGTTTCCCAAAAAGCCAAGAATCAAGCACCGATCACCTAACACGCTGGGCGCCAACAGCGAGGCTCCCAGCGAGGCTCAGCCAAGACCTACAGCATTTGGGGGAAAACATGATAGTTGGCAAGTTGGCCATCCTGTAGAGCCTACATCCTATTTTGTGACAATTGCTCTTCAACTGTCTTCATCATTCTGAAACCATAACACAACAAATGTTGAGGGCAAAATGGTCTGATGTTACTATCTTTAAGTTACATATATAAGTAGGGTAGGAATTTGGCGTACACATGAAACTTATATTTTTTTAAACTGTGTTGGAGTAGAATTTACAGAATGAATGTTTATCTGACGATTGTGCTTCATTTGAATCAAAATCTCATCATAATCTGGACTACTCTGATGCAAATCAAGGATCCGCAACAATTTCAAGTTAATGTGGTCTTCGAAACACTGAATTGAATATTAGGCTTCTAGATTTCTAGAGAGTATAGTGTAGTCATAGTCGTAGTAGTAGCAATAGTAGGAGTAGGAGTAGTTGTAGCTTAGAACAACCCCCCATGACAATGTTAGGTAAAAAAAAAAGAAAATTTTGCTCCATTCATTTGCCAGTCCAGTCAGAGAGACTGAAGAGAAATGACAAAAGGAGGTTGACATCAGAGTGGTCTCCTGTCCGTCTCGGTCAAAGCTTTGAAGAGGATGAACAGGAAGTAGGCTTTCTCTTTCTGCCTCTCTCCATTTCTGTCCCACTCTCAAAGATGAACAGTTTCAAGACCTTCTTACCTTTGACACATATCTCCACTAGTCCATACCACTCTCCACAGCTGTCGCACAGCAGGCTGAAGGCACTGTGTCCACTGGGCATTGCGTAACCCGGCACACAGGTGTACAGCAGCTCATCTCCCATCTCATACCCAGTGTGGCCCTGTAGACGGGCGTTAGGAAAGGATGGAGGGTCACCGCACGGCACACCTGTCAACAGTAAACACAGACATGCATGTGATCTTTAAAAAACATACAACATACAAAGTGGAATATAAATGTTTTGAGTTGTAAAACAAACTAGTGTATAGAGATGCTCTAATCCCTATTCAGTACTGCACAGTGTGGTTAATGAACCATGACACATAATTATTATCCAGCTTTACAGCATCATTCTCCCATTTGTAAACAGAAAGAGATTAGAATGACTCAAGGGACAGGAAGCAATGGGCTTTGTGGAAAATGTGGATGTTAATTTGAGAAACAGGACCACTAACAATGCCACTGGGATGAGATAAAGGCAGTGTATTGTCTTGACTCTGGTCTAATTTGTTATGGTAGTTTTACAGAGGCAGCACAGTTTTTTTGACAAAATGATTTAGCAGAAAATGCCACTCATATTTTTCTAAGATTTCAGTTGTTGTATTTACTCTCCAAAATAAAAACCTTTTCAAAATACAATCAAATCCTGTGTTATTGTTTATAAAATAATAAAAAATCAGGTTTAGAATTTTTAAATAAGGTTGTAAGTATAGGGCTGATCTCATGCAGTCATCTTTTGGAGAGTTGGGAAATCTCTCCCACCACTGATCTTTAACGGCCTCCAACAATTTTTCTCCTCTCTGAAATGGGAAGGCACCTACAGCTGAATCATCAAAAAAGCCCTCCTAAGACTCTTTTTCCTGCGCCAGCTCAAAAGGTTTGGGATGTAAAGAGTGGAGATGCTGCACTTCAGCGATATAAAGTGTTCTCACCTTTTCTATATCTGTGTGGCAACTCAGCTCAGCAGAGAAAGCAGCTGGACAGAATTGTTTGCTTTGCCTCAAAAAGTCATCAACTGTAAACTCATCCCCATCTCTGACATCTACGGGACCCTCATTCTGCACAAAAGTCTACAAATACTACAACGGACCCCCTGTTAATGTAACTCTCCCCTCAGGAAAAACCAAGACATCAAACTTCCTCAAGGCTCCTGTTTTAAGTCTGAATGTGTTGATGTGAAACACAGAAATGGCAAACACACACAATGTTGCAGGATGGAGAGTGTTGAAAGTAGAAGATATAGGGAACGCTTAGTAAATCTCAGTAAAGACACACACATACTGACACAAATACACACTCTGTACACACAAAGCTCATCCATTCATAACCAGATCATGACTTACTCATGTACTTATGTACAGATTTATAAATGATGAGTGTATGAGTGTATATATCTGTGTGTACAGTGTGTTTACTGACCTTTGTCTTTGATACAGAAGGCGTCCAGGTGAGCAGCGTCCTCTGTGGCGTTTTCTGTTCTCACATCCACTGCCTTCAGTGCACTGCCCACAACATTACACACCGTGGTCCTAGAAATCAACAGATAAATAATCAACAGACAGATACTTCATACGTCTACTCCACTACATATCAGAGGGAAATATGGTACTTTTTACCCCACATCCAAAAAAAAGAGTAGCATAACTTTGTTTTTTCTTCTTTCCTCTCTCATTAATTAATTAATAATAATAATAATAATAACAATAATAATAATAAATAAATAATATATCAGTCACAGGGGACATTTTTCTGCAGATTGAGTACTTTCAATTTTGATATTTTAAGTATATTTTGTTGATAATACTTATGTACTTAATATGAATGCAGGACTTTCAGTTGTAATGGAGTATTGTTACATTAATATATTGGTACTTTTACACACGTAAAGGAGCTCAATAATTCTTCCTCCACTACTGATAACAGTGAAGTGAGATTTCTGCTGAATAAAGCAGCAGCTCTGGTTAATATATGTATACAGAAAACATGACGACACACACGGACAGATATAAACAGTATGTGCTGCTTTCTCAGTCCCCGTCTGATTTGTTGCTTATTCAAATATTATTACAGCGTGACATCAGAGTCCAGAAACACACATCATGTCTGAGACAGGCTGCACTATCAGCAGTTGCAGCCTGCGGCACAATGTTATCACACTGTGGCACATTACGAATAGATGTTCCCATGCAGAAGCCTTAAGTTGCAGCCCACTTCATATAGAACAATCACAACATCAGGGACTTAATATAAAACGCTTTCCACAGAGACCAAATGAATAATGCGGTCAGCGCACGGCGCCTACAAGCTGCGGCAAAATAAATGCTGAGTAAACAGTCTATTTTTGTTGCCACATTAAGGTTTATAGCATCACTAGCCCATTTGTCATCTAATAGCACCAGATAAGACTGACTCAAACTTCCCAGGCCAATCACATCATGTTCCCATAGCAGTTCCCGACTCCATTTGGAAAGAAAATTCAAAGCAGAGTTCAGAAACATAATTAAAAGTCAGACATATTACACTTTTCATATAATATTGCACGGTAATAACATTAATCAAGCTTCATCAAATGGAAAAGGTGTGTGTGTGTGTGTTTGTGTGTGCTTGTGTAACTGAGTTAATGAAAGCACTAATTGGAAAGAATTTGACTGGCAGTGCAGTGAGAATGTGAGAGGTGGTGTGAGTCATACCGAATGCTTGTGCCATGCTAACTTAAGCTTATAAGGACAAAAATCTGAGAGAGAAACAGGCAGCAGGGCAGAAATCGCCAGGAAAACACCAAAAAAAATACTGTTTTCACATTAAACTCTAGCATCTGGAGGCATCTGTGTGTGTGTGTGTGTGTGTGTGTGTGTGTGTGCATGCGTGTGTGTGTGTGTGAAAGAGAGAAAGATTAACCTCTATCAGAGACACTACACCTGACCGAAGAACCATTTCTCAAAACCCTCACCTTGCGTGACATAACCATTACCGGGAAAACCCAAAGATACGTGTGTGTTTGTACGAGTTTGCAGGTATTATTGTGTTTGGTTGTCGTGGCAGCAGCTCTATCATTGACAGGTAAGAGGAAGACGTTAAGGTAGGATCGTCCATCTGAGAAGCGCTTGTTATTATGCAACAGACCTAAAACTTATGTCAAAGACTACAGGTTAACTGGCACTTACACCGCAGCGTTACCCTCTGAAAAAAACACATATTTATTTATTTAAGGAGCAGAAGAGGCTCGTATGCAGCACCCTTCTCTTCGGATATGACAGCCGAAAAAAAACAACTTGAAATTCTCTGATGTGTTCTGTTCACTTTCGAGTGCTGTGGTGAGGCACGGGATTGAGACAGAGCAAGAGAGGCCGAAGCTGAGCTCATAGGGATGAGATCAGCTTCGACACACAGAGACATAGATGGGTGATACACTGTGAAACATGGTAAGCAGGTGTGAAAGCTGATGCCCGCTGGCCAACACGTAGAGAGCAGGGAGCGTACGGAAAGGAGAAAAAAAAGTGTCAGCTTTTCCTCTGACCAGACGTTCGTCATTCTCAGAGGCAGACGACCATTTTGAAGCAGGTTCAGTTTCATAACACTGATGATTCCTCCTTTGAATAATCCTTTCCATCTATTTATTTGTATTTCTTATATTCATTTACCAAGTCATTACATTATAAACCAATGTAAAATCATACATTTATCAACTTCCAATACCTTCTTTAGCTCTTTCAATACACTTAATGCACTTGTGGAAGTACTTTAAGGGCCCTTTAATCTATCTAGTAGCATGACAGAGAGTTGTAATTATTCAGTCATGACCTGTCTGGAGCCATGCTTGTGCTAGCCATGCATGAGTTAGCCGTGCTAGAGGTGTGGCTCTAGGGACAGGTAGTCTGTCGGTCTGTCTGTCACCACTTTAGGACAGACCGAAATATCTCAACAACTATTGGTTGCTAAGAAACTGAATTGTAACGGCTTTGATCATGAGGTAAACATTTCAATTTGACACAGAAATACGTGTCTGTTTTCAGAAAGAGTTTGGGGTGGGAATAGGGGGGAGGGGGAATAGAGAAATAAAATGGTTGAAGGATTACTTGTACTTAAAGGTTCATAGCGGCCTCCCAAATGAAACTTCTCCCGTGTGCCAAGCATGTAAGAGAAGGATGGTGGCCATCGCAAAAACGTGAACAATTTAAAACTAAAGCTGATCATATAATGAATAAGGCATTCTTATTAATATAATAATCAATTACTTTAGACTTTAATTAGATCCCGCTAAATGCAACACACTGTTCCTTTATTTCAATTTCAATATGCTTATATTGCAAAAATAGCCACTCGTCTTTGAAGAATTCAAGGCAGTATTTTCACTCAACACAAGCACCACACCACCACCTATGTAATGCTGTACAGCATGTACCTCACAGCCCTGGAATCACCTTACACTGAAACCACAAAGACCACGTACTTTTCATGTATCCTCTGTCATTAACACCAACGACTCACCTCACTATAAACTAACAGTGCATCCTCTCCCTCCAGGCCCAGAGCAGCCCTGCCTCTTTGTCTGCATGGGAGTCTGTCTGTCTCTGGGGGCTGAAAGCTGTGTGTCATGTTACCGTGGAGATGAGAGGTGTAAATGGAGGCAGTTGTCGACATGACACCCCGGCTCAGAATTCCCTCCTCCTCCAGGAGGGAACAGAGGAGTCTTTCTGCCGCTCTTCCTCTCTCTTCCCCCCCCCTGAAATGTGTCACTCTCTTCTTCTATCTTCCCATCCTGTCTATAACTGCCGCTGCTGCCTTTACTTCCTTTCTCTTTCATCCGTTCCTGCAACCGCTGTCACGCTCACAGAGATGCATACACACACCAAAATGACCTCTGACCTCAAGGCGCCCGACATGTCCCTTAAAGCGACAAACACCCTCAATACGTCTTTCCTTACCCCACTGTGCCTCCGTAGAGCCACCCACGGGTGCATGGGGAGAAGAAGCACTCCACCACAGCATGATGGAGCTCCTCTGCTGATGCCAAGCGGGCTTGTCGAGAGGCACAAGCCCCCTCAGCATCTCTGAAGCCCTGCAGGCCGGAGGAGTTTCTCAGGTCCAACACGAACACTCGACCTGAGAGGTAAGAGAGAGAGAGCAGGGAGTAAGAGGACCCCCTCTGAAATGTCCTATTTCCTCTTATTAACCTCCTATATTGCACAAAGTCATACACGTTTTCATGAGCGCCAGTTTAAATTTGACTTGTGAGCTTCTGAGAACTGGCTGGGACTGTAGGATAACGCCAAAGTGTTTTGTCAATTGTGATCAAATCTAAACAATATTAATTTGCCTTTTCTGTCTCACCTGAAGAGAAATATGGATTTTGAGACTGATCGCAAAATCGATGTAAATCCATACTATGTGTGCCACAATACAGATGTGCATTTAAGTAGAACTGCTGCTGTGAATCATCGACTAATGAAGACATTTCTATGCTTATTAAGATTATCACCACATACAAAATGACAGGTCCCAATACATTTCACAATGTTATTAGATATATATGTTGGCAGCTGCGAAAAGGTTGGTGAATAAATCAAATTATTTTGTATAAAGGATCACTCTACATAACAGCAGCGTTACACTTGCATGTCATTGGAGCAGTTCTCAATAGAGTAGTTTGACTGTATACAGTTTTGGCAACAGGAGTGATCAATTTAAGCATCACAGGAGCGCATGCGTCCCTCTCATCACCACCTCATTGTCACACCATCAAACCAAATCAGAGGTTAAAGTCTGGACTCTGATTTGAGCGTTGAAGCTCATATAGAAATAAAATAAATTGAAATTGAAATCAAATGAAGACTTATTCAGGCATTACGTTTATGTGGTAGCCTAGGTTTTCTTTTGACTACTTTTATTTCTCTTTTTTTATTGGATGTTTTATTCTTTTTATCAACTTGTAGAGCACCTTTTTTATCATCATTATTTGGTGTTCAGAATCACGAAAGCAAATGTTCCTAAGAGTAAATATTTCGAAATATTTCGAAATTAGACGGAAATATATATTTTTTATTGCGATAAAATGTTAAATTTACAGAAAAAATACATAATTAATAAATGCACAAAGCAAGGCAAGTGGAGATTAGTCCACAACGGTTCGTGCATCACCAGCCCCTAACTTTCCTGAAGGAAACTAATATTCTAATACAAAGCTCGTGGGCTAATTGTCTTTGGGAATAAACTGTGAGTTTATAATAAAGTATGTGGTTTGTTGTCACATTTTTATAGTAGGCTATCTTTGTATAATTTTCTTCAAGTACAAAATCTTAAAATATGAACTTACCGTCTGCATTTACAACAGAGGTCACCACAAGACAAGCCAGGCATCCAAAGAGCAATGCTGTTTTGTTACAACGATCCAGCATCTTTTGGCAAAATCTCACTTTTGTATGTTGGAAAGCGTGTCCGAAAAACTTCCAGCCGACTTTATGTAATTCACAATCTTGCAGGTTCAGAGTGACAGAGGAGAGCGCGCGCCGGAGCAGCAGGAAGGTGCGCTTGTTGACAAGTGAGGGTGATACCGGAAAGAAAACGGTAAGAGCGGCTCACCAGCGAGGCGCAGTTTATCTCCCCCAAATAGTCGCCCTCGCAAGCAGATGGAGCATCGGTGTGAAAACTCGCGTGTCCCCGTTAGTAAATACGTCACAGCTCAAAATCTTAAAGGGTGGGCAAAGGCGGTCAGATAGACTGCCGGACTGTTCCTTTACAGAGCGAGAGGGAGAGATGAGGGGAGGAGATGTGGCATGGATGAAAGCCTCAGCCTCAGCTAAATGTTATACATGTGAGGAAGTGTGTATTTGTGTTGAAGAGTAACATACTGACACTGCATTGCTAAAGTGGCTAATAAGGGACCTCAGGTTCAGTACAAGCAGAGCTGATCCTTTGATCATAAAATCTTAATTAAGGTGAATTGTCCCCTCTGCGAGGCCCAACTTCCCTCTATTGGGCGGGGTGTGTTAATGTGTGTGTCCCATTTGGCGAGGGAGATAAAGACTGATGACCAAAGCCTATACAGAGCTTTTTGGAGCATGCAGACATTGTTCCAGTAAATCTGCAGGTGAAGATAACCAACCCACGTATATATACCAGTACACACAGGATCCACACCACTGAACCTAAAGCAACATTATAACCTATAAATACGTTATATATAGACAATACAAGTTATCACAGTATATGCTTTTTGAAATAAATAAATGCACTTGTCCACACATACAAATTGCATTTCCCTCTCATATACATTAACATCTCATGCAAGAGGATAGTGTAAGATTTGCAGTACAACAGTTCATTCTTTGATGAAGCAACCCCACCACACGGCCCGTTTAGTAGCTGTTCTGTGGCTTTCACATAATCTCCCTCAGCAGGTGGATGTTGGCCAGTTGTCGTGGAACTAGAGAGGATCAAACTTACCATTTCTGAACTTATAAATCCATAAAGTGAAAAGAAAAATGGAGATTTGATCATCTACTCGTTTCATGACATTTGGGCACCATCTGCTGAAGAAGTTGTTTCTTAAGTAAAAGTATGTAAAAGTATTAGCAAAATGTACTTAATAAATAAGTACTCATTGCATAACAATGGTACCTGTAAGTGTGTATTGTTATAAATCATGTCAGTAGATTATTATTTGTGATGCAATAATGTGCAAGCAGCATGTTGGAGTGGATTTTCAATGTTGCAACTAATAATAACCAACTCTGATGATTATTTTTCTTGATTAATTGATTTTTTTCGTTTGGTCTTTAAGATGTCGCGAAATAGTAACAATTGTCCTTCATAATTAGCCGGAAAAATAAAATAAAAACAAAGGAGGAGGAGAGAAGATGAGAACATTAAGAGGATTTTATCCTCCATCTATTTTCCTGCTCCCTGCAGTAAAGATGATGACTGTGACTCGGAAGGAGAGGAGACACCGATACTGTGTGTGTGCAAATACAGGAAACAATTGGAATGACATTATTTTTTTAAACAACCATGGATAAATTCCTTAAGGAGTGACACTTTGGTTGAGGATTCACACATACTCATGTCTCTCCATTACTTTCTTCCACATACCACCTTTTCCATTTTCATAATTGCCCCAAAGGAGTCACTCACGCTGCTGCATCGTGGCTATAAATACCCCACTGATGTTTTTCCATTTCAGTCACTCTTCATTTCAGTCACCCCCCGCCCCCTGCCCTCACACACCTCTAATACTTTCACCTCCTGTTTAGAGGGGGTTTGCCTGAGGGACCTTAAGGTGGGCTAGGATCCTGACTCACGTTACTGGGGGGCTATTTCTGGAGAGGTGGAAGTTGAAGAGGGGAGAGTGATGGCGTGGAGGAGAGAGACGGTGATTCACACTTGCACCGTCTCGGAGAGGATGGTGAGAATTATGTTTGCTGCAGGTGTCCTTCACACAGGTGTGTAATCTCACAGGACTTCCAGTATACACACCCCATGAGACAATCTGTGCTATGGAAGTAAACACACACACACACACACACACACACACACACACACACAAACCACAGGATCGCTCTGAGTATGTGTGAGACCAGTGACTTCCCATGTGAGACATGTCTTGTCAGAATGAGGTGTAGTGCAGGTGTGTGACTGACTCAGAGGAAATCATTGGTCATACTGGTGAAGCCCAGGGACAGAGGAGGGTATGGCTTTGTCTCCATGGCAACAGCCTCCATGGCAAGGGGGGGGGGGGCAGGAACAGCTTCAAAATCCAAGAGTTGAAGCTGCATGCAGGGAAATTTGGTTTTGAGAGAGATGATTGATATGTGTGTGTGATGTGTGTGTGTGTGTGTGTATGTGTGTCTGTTGCTGTCCTTTGAAAAACATGTTTTTTTCCAAAATGTCAACTTTTCATGAACTAAGGAAAAGCTTTTAGCTTTTTGAAAATGCACTTTTGAATAAAAACAATGGAGTTTTTATTCGAGGTTGAAGAATTTCCAATTGTATGGCAACATAGTCCTTCAGTTTAAGTGAAAAATATTTTGGAGATATTTAGGTTTTCTGTGGACAGTGTTAATATCTGTGTACATATGTCTGAACCTGCACATACATATGTGTTTTAGCCACAATATACAATCTTTTTTTTTGTACAGCACTTTAAAGAACACATAGGGAACAGAGTAACACTACACTCACAGTGAACGCAACTAATTCTAATCAAACAGCAATAAAATGAACAAAACACTAAAACATGTTACTAACATAAATCAGATGGATACAAAATAGGAAGTTGGCAATAAATACAGATTATGACAAAAAGTCTTCAATGAGACAGTGTTCAAATACCATCAGCTCAGGTCTATGGAAACAGTATCTGTGTTCAACAGAGACGTCCTTGCTCAACATCAGTGGAGTCACTGCGATTACCAGCACACATTCAACACTGAGCTGCCAGCCACAGCAGAGTCAGGAGGAGAAGGCCATGGAGCTATTCAAAGAGCTGAGTTAATGAATTTGACTTTTGATGAGAGATGTTAATTACCATGCAATGCGGTGAGACTGGATGGCACAAGTATTGAAAATGTGTTGCGTGCAGATGAAAGATTACATTTTAGCACAAGCGTCATGAAATGTATGTGTTCATGCCAACATGCATGCACAGCGTGTGTCCTCTGTCTGAGTCATCTCTGTTCTATATTTATGTTAAAGAATCCAACTGTGTATAATGAATAATAAACAGAAATTTAATCTATCAGTTATGTTTAAATGTTCAGACATATTTTGGGGTATTTTGTTTTTCTGATATTCTTTACTAAAATTAAAGAAATAACTTACGCCATCAAAAACTGAAAAATAATATTCTTTTCTGGGTGGACCCAGACAAAACAATAATAATTGTTAGTCCAAATAAATGCTAGAATCAAGTTTGTTATTTCTATTCAGATATTATTCTCTCTCCGCTAATATTCTTTTTTTAACAGCAGCTTAATAATAACAAACCTTTCTGAATATCATGCAAGACTTTTTTTTAGTGGTTGCAGGGCTAAAATAAAATCATTGCAGAAGCTCCTGACTGATAGATCAGCAGCTGGCAGGCAGACAATGCTGCCAGGCTTCATACCTCCTTTAAACCCTCTTATCTAATAGTTGTGAAGTTGTTATTCATGAAAGAGCACTGGTGGACCACTAGTCCCCTAAGCATACACAACAGCAGGGCTGAAACCAGCACACCCGAATATGATTTAGTCAATTATCTCATTATAGTTACACCTGTGTTACTGTGTTGACCAAGAGAACAGCCTACTATTCACTTTGTTTGGTTGATTCACCAGGTGTAGCTGTAGCTGCGTCAACCTAGACCCACACAGGTGTTTTCACTTTGCCTAATTATAGACCTCTTGACAGGATTTGTGTGAGTGTGACTGACATCTGGCTCACGTGTTGCAGAGGGACAACTACACTGTTTTCTTAAAGGCCTTTTGCACATGTGTTACTAATGACATTAACGATGGCTCTTTTCACGTGTCCCAGTCGGTGACAGTATGACAGTGAACAAGCATGCACAATACCAGGACCCTGAAACTGAAGGCAGTGGTGGAGAGTATGTACATCTACTCGAGTACCGTACTCCAAGGGGGGCTTTAAAAAGTTTATTTAGCTTAAGAAGTAGTTTTCTCAACCCATAAAGGAACAGTTAATCCATCAGTTTGTCTGAAAAATCTAATTCAAAATAACCAAAATTGGAGATATGTGGTTTTCACTGGATATAAAGGATATTACAAATTGTAATGTGAAACTAAAGCTGTCAGATAAATATTGTGAAGAAAAAAACATATTACCTCTGAGATGTTGTGAAGTAGAAGTATAAAGTGAAAGGAAATGCAAATACTAAAGTAAGGCACAAGTACTACATGTTCTTTCCCTTTTCCTCAGAATAATGCTGTCACAACATGTATTAGTGATCATCCCTCAACAGTTCAGAATGGATAATATTGCATAAGATCGCCCTCTAGCTGTGGATGTTGAGAACACCTGTGAAGATATTTCATTCTGGATGTGTAACTCACACTCTAGTATGTCTGCAGCCTTCTCGACAAAACCTGCAGTAACAGAGGTGGGGGAAGTATTTAGATCATTTATTTGAGTGAAAGTAGCACTTCAACACAGTAAAACATCCTGCGTTCAACATCTAAAAGTGTTATTAACAAAATGCACCAAGTATCAAAAGTTAAAGTCGTTGTTATGCAGCTTTGACCCTTTTAGTGTTGAACACATGTATATAATAAGATCCTTTATTGGCCATTATTGTCGTCTTGGATAAGCTGTGCCTCATTTGAATACAATTTTATTAAAACAGGTGAATCAAATCTGTCAGTGCAGTGAAAACAATTCCACCTGTTTTAAACAAAAATAACTGTACTTTTTACTTACTGGATTCATTATATATATATATATATATATATATATATATATATATATATATATATGGTCATCTTCTGAAACATGATCTCTCTCTTATAAAGTCTTTTTTTAACTAATAAAAAACAAATTGGCCATTTTAGTATGAATATTTCTTCCTGTTTTCAATGCATATTAAGTTATTCAAACAATTGAATAAAATACATTTTCTTTCATATTTCAACTTCCCAAACCTGCACTGTTATTTAGATTCATGCGCTAGCTTCGTTGAGTCAAGTTGTTAGTGTAAAACAGAACTGAAGTGTGAAATTAAGTTTTTTGGACTCAAAATGTCTTTTTAACTTTAAACCTCCTGACACTATAAAGTATTTAAGTTTAGCTGTACCTCAATAAACTACAATACAATACAAATGCTACTCACACATTGATGCACCAGGAATCTCAGTACACTACCACAACACTTTGAAAGGGGCCATCTATCCTAATGATCACATATTAAATGCAGGACTTTCACTTGTAGTAAAGTGTTTTTTTACATTGATGTACTTCAATAAAGGAGTTCCTTTAACACCACTGTTGATACATAAGCACTGGATCTAATACAGGAGTAACAGAGAAGTCAGTCCAAGTTTTTTTTGGGTGTGTGTGTGTTTGTAGGTTGAAGCCTTCATGTGACCGTGTTACACATCTCTAATGGAGACAAAGTCTTGGCTCCTGAATCTCGCGTCCACAGATGCGAGTTTTTCCCCTTCCTTTATCAGACCCACGGGTTCGTGTCAGGTCACGTCTCGGTGCTGTAATATCCGTGACTGCCACGGTGAATGCGGCCAAAAAGGACCTTTTGTCGTAATCCCCCCCCTCTAAATCTCCGCAAGACCCCACAATCAAAACAAATCGACCACGCGTGCTTTACCCGCAGCAATGACGTCACGTAAGCCCTCCCCCTTCCCCGCAAGTAAAAAACATAACATTGAGGGAAAACGTCCGTGTCAACCGCCGCACGAGTGCTCGGTGACGGGAGTGAGCCGTGAGAGATGAAAACGGACGTTAATTCACCGTTTCCCGTGTGTTTGTAGCAAACTTCGAGGATTTAGGGGGCCAGCTGACTCGCGCTGGAGCGATGAAGGGAGAGGCGGAAGTGAAGTCACTTGACAGACCGTCCATGTTATTATTGTTATTTTTGGTAGCCCTGTGATGAGACGGGCTGGGGAGCCCTTGGTCTCCGAGACAACACGACCGTTGACGTTACCGCAGGCCGCCCCGGACCGACACCACCCTCGCCGCCGACACCTCCTCACTGACCCGGAGACGGGAGCCTCGCTGACGGCTGGAGGGGGGGGGAGGAGGGTGTGAGGACCCAGCTCCAGCTCGGCTCCTACAAAAAAAATAAAACAGCGACAAAAAACAATAACGGTGTTCGTCAAAACGACTCGACTGGTGTCAGTGCGGCTGTGTAGCAGGGACGTGCCGCAGCAGACATGAACGGTATCACCAAGGGCCGGTTCGAGGTATGACAGAGGGAGTGGACCACCAGCGGTTAAACTGTTTGTTTCTAGTAGACGTGGGAGTCTGGGGGTTGTATAAGCAAAGTATTTGTGTGTCTACGTGTGTGTGTGTGTGTGTGTGTGTGTGTGTGTGTGTGTGTGTGTGGTCGACCGTGCTCCTAATTTTACATGCAGTCAGGAGCCGAGGCGTTTTGTTGGTCAAGGGTAATCCGAAATCCTGTTATTGTCCTGTCGCGCCAGTAGACAGCGACAACATGGAGCTCAGGACTGCGGGACAGGAGGGCTGTGGCTGAGGAGAGTCAGTATATCAGGGCCGAGGCTGGCAGGCTCTGTCGCCTGAGGTGACAGGGGGGGGGGGGCTGCAGATGGAGAGTAATGTTGTAAATAACAGCATTCAATTAGTCATCCCTCGGGTTTGTCAGACAACACCTTGACACCTCCGGTGATACCTGTGAATGACAGGTGCCACAGGAGGGTGTGTGTGTGTCCGTCTGACACTACAGATGGTCCTTTTAGTGGTAAAGAATCAATAACTATGAGTGCTGTGCTAGACCATGTGTCCTCACACAACCTTTCCAGGACCATTTTGCAGGAGATTGGTAAACACACAACCCTTTTGTGTGGGTTAGAGCTCGATGCAGTGGTGGAAGAAGTATTCCGATCTTTTACCTCAAAATACCTCACGGTAATTAAAAAAACCAGCAACACTTCCCAACAAGTAAAAGCCCTGCATTCATGCATTTTACTTGTTTTGAGTGTTTTACCTAAAGATAAACTCGTAATGCAGGCAGAGCAATCCTTGTCAGTGTTATATTACTTCTTGTTATTATTGACACATTATTGTGTATATGTAGCATCTTATGTTGTAGCAGGTTGTGGTATAAGATACTTATTATTACTAGGTAGTTTAATCCATAACAATACATCATATTTTAAAAGATGATTGTATGCTTTTGTATTTAAAACGTTGCTTTTCAAAGTGACCAGTAAACTGCAGGACTAGTAGTTTCACACCTGAGATGACGCTTTATAACGCACACCCGGAACAAAGCCCACTTGTAGTCGCTGCATGACTCGGGTTTAGAGTTGCCACATTAGATATGTGTTCAATACGTGTTCAATTTCTGGCCTTGCAGTACAAGTTCAGAAACCAGATTTTCACACCCACCCGGTTGTAAACTGTCTAGGAATAGGAGTACAACTGCAGAGAGGAACTCCTTGCTTGGGAATGCTGCTCTGCTGGCACAGGGAGCGAAGGCCCCACAATGCTGAGGTGATAACTTTAAATGAAGCACGCGTACCACAGATGAACCTCGCTGTCATAATGTCAAAATTGTGGCTGACATCACACACAACAAATACTGCGCTCACGCCATTCCACCTGGAAACTTCTCCATCGGGGTTTGGGTTACACACCACTTTACTAACAATTATTTATTGATGAATTGATTATTGTTTTTAGATGATTTGGTTAAAGGTTTAGTCTATACAAAATAGTGACCAGCAATCCAAAAACCAATAACTTTACATTGATATTAGAGCTGCAAAGATTAGTCTATCAGACGATTCGTCAAATGAATGAAATTTAGTCGATTATTTTATGATTTTTAAACAACAATGCGATTTAGTTTTTATGGTTCATAAAATGTGAGAATTAGCTGTTTTTTCTTGTCTCATTCTACAGTAAACTGTCCTTTTGAGATTCAAGATTTTTGACAAGCTCTCGACTATTATGCTGAGTATGATTAATATAGTATCATTGGTGGCAGCGGATATAAAAATAGCTGAACTTATGCTCACCTGTAGGTCAACAGGTGCGTAGGAGAAGACGTTAGGTCAACAATATAGAACAAAAAGACTCCGGCACAGCGTCCCCTTCACTTCCCCTCAGAGATAGTTGATAATAACAACGTTTCAGTTAATCAGGTTATTTCCAAAATATGTCTGAAATGTTATTATTAAATATCTCTGACTGCAATTGAAGAGGACAGCGTGTGGGAGTGTTTCAGTTCTATTTTGTAGCCCGAAATGATATAAAGGCGAGAATAGCAGCAGACTTAAATGATTGTTTCAGCAGTAATCTGAAATGTCAGAATCTTTTATCTGCACTTCAACATCTAGCATCTAGAAACACAGTAAAACTTGTTTCAGTTTGCACATTTAAACCAAAACACGAAAAGATTATTTTGCCTCTGTTGATTCTCAAGAAGGAAGAAAATGTCAAAGGTGAGTGATGTGTTGCAGAGGTGGTTTGGAATTAAGTCTAAATTTAGTCCCAAATCCTAAGCCACCTCTGGCTTTAGAGAGACACTGAGTCAATGAACTGAAGGCCTTGTCTCTTCCTACCACTCAGCACACACAGTAGAGCACAATTAACTCTCAGATTACTCAACTGAAGCTGAGTGACATCATGGTGGTGAAGGCTTTATTCTGAAGTGTTTATTCAGAGATTTTTGTTGAACCTTCTTTAAGTAGTTTCCCCTAACCCTCATGGGTAGATTGTGAGAATATGTTATTCGATACATGGGTATGTAAGAACCAATAAGGGAGAAGGTTTTAACTATCCTGGAGCTATTATTGGATATGGTTAAAGAATAGGTTCTGGTCTGTTTCAAAGCTCTTTGTCTGCTGTGTTGTTAACTGAGCATGGACGTAAACAATCAAACCAGCTTTGTTAATCTTCTGCTGGACCTTGACTGGACCAACTCCCTCTCTTCTGTCTTTTGGACCCCATTTCCTCTCAAAAGGCCTTCACCGTCTCCCTCCCTCTCACTCCTCTCTTTTCACCCTGATTTTAATAATGACTTCTGTCCGTATTTTCGCACTAAGTTCCTGCCTGTAGCAGCATTTCTTTGTTTGCCCTCTCTCTCTCT